TGTTTTCTTCAGAAAGGGCCCATGTTGGGGTGGCAGGGCCCTGGCATGGCCAGGTGGCTTTGCCCCCAGCCTTGCAGCAGGTCGCTGGCACAGGGAGGATGCTGCTCCTTCCTCCCAGCCTTGACCACTGGAGAGGGACAGGGTGGTGGGATTGGGGCAGAGGAAGATCCCATGGGACAGCAGCAGAGCCACAGCCAAGCCTCAGGGTACTGCTGAGGAGGAAGGCTGTCCTAGGGGCTGCGTGAGGCTGGTTTCTACCCAAAAATGTCACCAAAAGGTGCTTAGGAAGGGTCTCCCCCATCTAATGGGCACAGCAGGCAGGGGAAGAGCTGTTTCTGCCAAAACGGTGGATGCAATCTCATCTCTGCATGGTTCCTCCCTCAATGGATGGCAAACCTTTCTACAGGCATTAGAGAATTTAGACTATGCTGCAATCTCAAATGGAAAAGCTGCTTGTTTTCCTCATTTATTAGGGAACAAAGAAGTTCTATGACTTGCTTGAGCCCACAGACAGCACCAGTGAAAGAGCAAGGACTGGCTCTTGGGTATGGTTTTAGAAACACCAGCTGTTTGGTGGTTATTAATATGGGGCGCAGCCGCCTGGACAGAGCTGGAAGGCATGGTAGGAATCGCACACCAGCCACGGGGAGGGAGCAGCTCCAAGTCTGTTTGGCCACATCCGATTTTTTTCTTATAGCTGTTGTGAAGAGAGAAATTCCGCCCTGGCCTGTAAAATAAACATCACAGAGCCCAGCGGTCCCCCACATTGCCTTGGCAGTTAAAATAACAAATCGCCAATCATTTCTAGCCCCATCTTCTCTGCAGCCAGACCTGCTGCAAGTAGGGAAATGTGTGCCCAAGAGAGAGGCGCTAGCAGAAATCATAGACATTATTTTCATTTGGAGTAAGTTTGTGAAATAAACTTTGCAGCAAGGAGGAGAGAAGGATGCTCCTAAAACCGGTCCGTTTTCCTCAAAAAACAACCCAAACCATCTTGTGTGCTTACACAGCAAACAGATTTTTTTGACCGAATACTTTTTTCTTTTCAATGAGCCTTTTCTCCCCGCATTACAATTTAAAAAAAACCCTGAGAGCAGCTGAGGGTCCTCCTGGGAGTGGTGGCGGCCCCAGCTCTGCCGTGACCTTGGGTCGTATAAAGTGTGGCGTGACATGAGCGTGGTACACACTGCTCTGCCGGGGGAGCGGTCGGGGGGCGGGGGGGGACGGGGCTGGCGCGCCGAAAAAGCCGGGAATATTATATAACTCGAACTTACATAATTACCTCTTGCATAATGCCGGGGAAAAGGCCCTCTGTAACGCAGCCGTGGTTTCTATGGCATTTTGCTGATACACGGCTGCTTCTAAGAGATTCATTTGCACTTTGTTTTAGGAGCCTGCAGCTCAGTCCATGCAGACAGACAGGTGAGACCCTGCGCTCCCAGCAGCATTAGCCGGAGAGGTAAGGGCAATAGTAACAGGGTCTTATAGCCATAGCAAGAGACGAGCATTGGGTTTTCTGCAGCTGTGCCATTGACTTCAGTATTCAGAGGATCAGAAGACTGTCAGATAAGAGCACCATATGAAGCCGTACGCATTGCATACCCTCTGCCGCTTGTAGGAAACAAGGTGGAGTCTAACTGGCCAGTGGTGGTGGCAATGGCCAAATCCCTTCCAGGCTCACTCCTCTCTTCCCCTCGCTCTTAAACACTATTCATAGCAGTGGCCCCAGGCAGGGCTCCCGCACACTGACAGATTTCAGCAGCTGAGAGGTGACCCGAGACGGTTGCTTAAAAGGAAGAGGAAAGGTTAGAAGGAGGAGATTTCAGCATCAGGACAAGATTTGGGCTGTGGGTTTGCAGAGTTGTGCTATGTACTTATCAGTATCTCGACATGGATTATTTCAGGGGTCGGGCCCTGTACTATAAAGTCAGAGGTAGCTTTTCCTTCGCCTCAGTGCTCACAGGATCCAGCCTTTGGCGACTATCAGACAGGCAACTCTATGACTCCGTCATTTTCTTTCTCCAGAAGGTGCACAGAATAACGCAGGCATGATCCACAGCTCCCATGCAGTCATCTGGGCATTGCATGGTGTACGTGACACTGCACA